TAAACACGGCAAGCGGCGAGCTTATCACCATCATCATCGTCCCCGGGTGTAGATAATTACCCGCCCGCCGCAATCATCGTCGTCAGTGGCAATTGCTCTGGAAGAAGATTGGATTCTCGGCCCGTAGATTCCTACTCGGATATTCATCAACTTATAAATAGTGCAACATTATCTGGCACCTGTTGCGGGTCAAGGTTCGATAACGAGCCCGTCTCTGCGATCGTCATTGAATTGGTTGGCCTATGGGAATATCTCTTTAAACATTCCACTGGCCTAGCAGAGGAGAGCGAAACGATCGTTTGCGATTATCGGCTGTATGTACGAACACCAATCTGCAAACAACTTTCACCACCCTGCTCGTGAGGCAAGCGAGCAGATCTTGGCGGCGGCTGATCGATCGGAGGTGGTATGTCTGTAGGATGAATGTGGGCATGTAGCCACATGATATGCACCATCATCGCCACTCGTTAGTTTGTGAATGTGGTCGTCGTCCAATGTGTTCGTAAACCTTTCTATTTGTTCTCCACCGGAGGGTCGGTGCTTGGAGGGAAACGGATTAATGGGCTACTTCCGTCCCTTGAGGTGTTATTGATTAATCCGCGCAGGTTATCTGGGTGCGGCTCGGTTTCAATCCGGCGGAACGAAATTCGAGACAACAGTTCCACTTAACAATAACAAACAATTTACATTTAGATTTTGGCTATCAAACAAATGCTTCCCCTGGCAATTACTGGAATCCTGAGTCGAATCTAGGTTCTTCTTCTTCTTCGAGGCTTTTTCGCTTCTTTTGCCAGTGTTTTGCCGGCTCTAAACTTAGTGTTTTTGATGCATTCTGAGCTTTCCCAAAGTTCCCTTGAATTCTTTAAAAGGTCTTTCTAATTCTCCTGGAACTTATTAGAACTTCTCCGAATATCACCAAAGCTCACTAAACTTCTACAAAGTTTCTACTTTGAGCTTCTCTAACGTTATTTTAAATACCCTAAGCGTACCAAAGTTCTTTTGATGTGTTTCTCTAAAATTCCTTGCCATTATTCAAATAAGTAAAACTTCGTTGAATTTTCCCAATGTTTTAGCAACTCATTTCTCTGAAGTTTCCTTAATATACTTCTCCAAAGTTCTTCAAAATGCCCTGAACTTTTTCAAAAGTTCCTTGAATCTCTATTCCCTGAACATAGCTTTCGTAGCTTACTGTACTTCTCAAAATGTCCTTCTCTAAATTTCACTGAACCTCTCCACTTCTTTTTTGGCTTCTTTTCAACTTAGTGTTCTTTGAGTACTTCCACAATTATTACTTGAGAGCTTCCTAAGCCAGTACCATTATTACATTAGTATAATTGTGTGGCAAGTACGATCATACTCTATGCCCAGGGAAGTCAAGAAATGTATCAACCTAAACAATTCCTTGACCGAGATCCGGAATCGAACCCAGCCGCCTCCAGCATCATCTTGCTGTATATTTACGCCTTTACCGACTGAGTTAGGGGCCAGAACCAGTGGCATCGCCTCGACTTCAATCTACCTGTTCAACAACTTTCGAAACGCAAGCAAATAAATCAATATTCGTTCCAATTGATACAAATTAGTGAAACTAGAAGACCCTGAGCTTTTTGAATTTAAACATGATCATAAATAACGTTTCCGAAGTTGTTAGGTAAAAAGTGAGGTTACGCGACGCCACTCCAATATTACCTGAATTATTACAATGTTGCTGGAACGTCTCTAAAGTAGCTCGAAATTTCGGGAGCTTTTCCAAAATTATCTCAATATGCTTTATATTCGGCCGGTAATGGCTCAATTGACACTAATCAGTACCCAATTTAATATTTGCATCAGTCTAATGGTCATGATCTGGAATAAAGGGCGAACACGAAATTATTGCGACACCGAAAATGTCATGCCAATTTTCTTATAATGTTTAGAATCAAATCAAAATTTTAGGTTAGTTTTATACATATATTTACTTCAAAAATCAAAAGAAAAGTTAATCGATGGAGCCTTGAGTGTAAAATTCAACGCATTTTCGCTTGATGCCCTCCATCAAAGTCTTTACAGTGTCATCCGGTACACGAAACGAAAATCAATTATTTAATTCATGTGTTTCACTTATACATTTTTGCCAAAGCATCAGCCTTATACATTCCATAAAACAAACCACATAGGTCCTATTAGAATGCATGAAAGGTATGTGTGACCGCTTATACATTTCATTTGACACATGATCTTTATTAACTTTTTGCAAGGCGTCTGCTTATTAGTTGACTTATACATTTTATGAATAATCAGCAATGGAAATTTGCCAAAAGGTATAAGGAGATTTCTATCGGTGTACCAGTTTCTCAGTTTTTTTTTCCATTTTCTTAACATGTCCTTCTCGTCTTTGACTGTCTTCTTGCTCTTCCGAAGTTCCCGCTTCATTATTGCCCAGTACTGCTCCACCGGGCGCAGGTCTGGACAGTTTGGCAGATTCATGTCCTTTGGAACAAAATGGACAGAATTGGCCTCATAACACTCCAGGACACTTTTAGAATAGTGGCATGATGCCAAATCTGGCTAAAATAACGGAGCATCGTCGTGCTGCTGCAAGAACGGCAAAAGGCGCTTCTCGAGGCACTCAGATTTGTAGATCTCGCCATTTACTGTGCCCTTTGTCACGAAAGGCTCACTCCTCAGTCCACAAGAGCAGATGGCCTGCCAAATGAGATATTTGGACGCGAACTTCGACATTTTCTTCTTCTTAAATTTGTCGTCCACATCGAACTTGCTCTTGCCGGTGAAAAACTCCAACCCCGGAATTTGCTTAAAATCGGCTTTTATATACGTTTCGTCGTCCATCACACAGCAGCCATATTTTGTCAGCATCTTCTCGTAGAGCTTCCGTGCCCGAGTTTTAGCCGTCGATTGTTGCCGCTCATCGCGGTTTGGGAAGTTTTGTACCTTGTATGTATGTAGTCCAGCTCTTTTCTTTGCATTCTGGACGTAGCTCTGCGACATGCCGATCTTTTTAGCCAAATCACGGCTTGAGACGTTGGGATTTGCTTTAATCATCCGCTTCACCTTTCCCTCCGTCTTTTTGTTCTCCGGTCCCGGTTTTCTTCCAGCTCCTTTGCCGTGGTCCAACGTCAACCGCTCCTGGAACCGCTTCAACACTCTGGAGACGGTTGAATGGTGAATGTTCAACATTTTTCCCAACTGCCGGTGCGACAGGTCAGGAAATTCCAGGTGTTTGGAAAGAATTTGTTCTCTCAACTGGCGTTGGTTCACCTCCATTTTCGTTGAATCGAAAAACACGACTTCAAGTTTGACAGCATGTACACAATACACATCAATGAGAAAGTGTGCAAAATTTGGTTGATTTTTACCCAATGGTAAAAAAGTTATGCCCTGTTGAATGTGTCGCAATAATTTCGTGTTCGCCCTTTACTATCTCTATTTAATAATTTGCCGGGCAACATAAACCAAGCATAATCGTAAACGAACAGTAGGAGCTCTCAAATTGGCAGCAGAGCTTCAATAAAGCACTGCACGCAAAAGCTAACCTCTCTTTTTGCCATCCTCTTTTCTTTCCATGGCAATGAAAGAGATAAGAACGAATAAAGACCAAAACAAACCCGGCATAACTGTCAGTATTTGCGGGTGAGAAAGGGAGATGGAGAGATTTAGGTTATGTTCCGTGTTGAGACCCTTGGACATCCCTAGTACACGAAACAGAATCCATCGACCAGCTGAGCTCACTGTTGGCAGACCACCCTGTCTTCAGGCGATGCTAGCGAACAGCGAAAAACGTCATCGGCAGTTTTTAGAATGAGAAGTGAAACAGCGTGTTTTACACACGAAGCATAATTTGTTGTTTTACATAATAAAGTTTATTTTAATTGTATTTATCTCTCACGCATTACATAAATCCGATGATGAGGCGAAGGTCCGCCTACTACTTCGGAAACTAGGACCGTCGGAACATGAACGATACGTAAGCTACATTCTGCCGAAAACTACGAAGGCGGTGAATTTCACGGATACATTGGCGACGCTGAAAAGCTTGTTTGGTACGGTGGAATCGCTCATCATCATCATCGCATTATCGTTGCCTCCAGGTCGTCAAGCAGCCTGGCAAGGATTACAAGACGTACACTTGCCGGTTGAATCGACTTTGCGTCGAGTTCGAGTTAGCGAAAATGAGCGAGGAGCAGTTTAAATGTTTGCTTTTCGTATGCGGTCTGAAATCGGAAGGAGATGGCGAGATTCGGACACGATTGTTGACCCGCATCGAAGAAAACGCAGCAGTCACACTGGAACAAATCTCCGACGAATGTCAACGACTGCTCACGATCAAGCGCGATACAGCCATGATCGAATCGTCAGCAACCATCAAGGAACTCCGGCGTAAGCATAGGGCACTCAGCGTCGAAACCAGGCAAGCCCGATGAAACTGCGGTTCCATGCACTATGCACGGGATTGCACCACCGGCAAGCACAGGTGCAACGAATGCGGCCAGTTTGGCCATCGGGAAAACCAGCAGCTCTTCGAAGCGGAAGAAATTCAAGCCGGTGGCAACGAAGACCGTTCTGGTGAGCAGCGTAAAGAAGCAGCGGAAGTTCGTGACAGTGCAGCTAGGAGGGAAAGCGGTTAATCTTCAGCTCGACACGGCATCCGACATTAGCGTAGTTTTGGAAAGAGATCAGTCAGCCACCGTTGAAGCTAGCAACGATAAATGCGTCTACAGCATCCGGTCATCCACTGAAGCTTGAGTCGGAGTTTTCGTGTGAGGTATCGATATGCAGGGTCACTCGCAACGGTCAATTTTACGTCGTGAAGCAATCGTTGCATCTGTTGGGCATCGATCTTATCGACACATTCAATATGTGGTCGTTCCCAATAGAGCATTTCTGCAACCAAGTCAGCAGTTTTCTGTCAAACATCGACGCCCTCAAGCAAGCGTTTCCCTCGACATTCTCCAACGCACCGGGGTTGTGCATGAAAGCGAAGATTCGGTTCAGCCTGAATGAAGGGCAAACTCCTGTGTTCTAGTCTAGTCTACACGAATGAAGGGCAGACTCCTGTGTTCCGCCCAAAACGGCCAGTCGCCTACGCAATGTACGACACGGTGAATCAAGAGCTGGATCGACTGGAACAAGCAAACATCATTACACCGGTCGAGTACTCCGAGTGGGCTGCACCGATAGTTGTGGTCCGGAAGGCTAGCGGTACCATACGAATCTGCGGTGACTATTCCACCGGGCTGAACGACGCCCTCCAACCGCATCAATATCCGCTTCCTCTCCCACAGGACATCTTTGCAAAGCTGGCCAATTGCAAAATTTTCAGCCAAATCGACCTGTCAGGCGCCTACCTGCAAGTCGAAGTGGACGAAGCCTCAAGAGATCTGCTAACAGTCAACACGCATCGGGGCTTGTATCGCTACTACCGATTGCCGCCAGGAGTGAAAGCATCACCTGGAGCGTTTCAACAACTGGTGGACACCATGCTGATCGGACTCAAGCAAACCTCAGGTTACATCGATGACGTGATTGCAGGAGGAGTGGATGAAGTGGATAACCAACTAAACCTGCAAGCAGTTCTTCAGCGCGTCCAAGAATATGGCTTCACCATCAAGATGGAGAAGTGTTCATTTGGGCAGCCGCAGATAAAGTACCTTGGGCATCTCATCGACGGACGAGGATTGCGACCGGATCCAGCCAAAATCCAAGCCATCCGGGAATTGCCAGCTCCTACGGCTGTGTCCGGCTTTCGCTCAAACCTTGGGGCGATTAGCTATTACGGTAAATTCGTCTCAGGAATGCGGACTTTGCGATATCCTCTCGATGAATTGTTGAAGGCCGGCAAGAAGTTTGAGTGGTCGTAGGAATGCCAAAAATCCTTCGACAAATTCAAGCAACTTTTGTCATCTGATCTCTTGTTGACGCACTACAATCCAGAGCTGCCGATCATTGTTTCGGCTGATGCGTCTTCAGTGGGAGTTGGAGCTACGTTGAGCCACAAGATGCCTGATGCATCCGTCAAGGTCGTGCAGCACGCTTCTCGTGCACTAACACCGACAGAGCAAGGGCCTTGCAATCGTGTTTGCGGTTACCAAGTTCCACGGGATGTTGTACGCTCGCAGCTTTCTTATTCAAACGGATCGCGCTCCTCTTCTCCGCATCTTTGGGTCAATCGTCTGCAGCGGTGGGCATTGCAGCTACTGCTCTACGACTTCAAGATCGAGTACGTCAGCATAGAGAAGTTCGGAAACGCGGACGTTCTTTCCCGACTCATTGCCCACCATGCAAGACCTGATGAAGATTTAGTCGTAGCCAGTGTCATCCTCGAGGAGGACTTGAGGTCAGTAGCGCCCAACTCTATCAGTTTCAGGACAGTACAGCAAGCCACCCAGACTGATCTAGTACTTGGTAAGGTCTACCGGTTCGGGCAGCAGGGCTGGCCGAAGTCCAGATCGGCCATCGCTGATCTAGAACTCCAGAAGTACTACGACCGTCAAGACTCGTCGGTTGTCCAAGGCTGCGTGATGTTCGCAGAACGTCTTGCTATTCCGGCACAATTCCGGGACCACTGCCTCCACCAACTGCATCGAGGTCACCCCGGAGTCCAACGCAGGAAGGCAATAGCTCGTAGCTACGTTTACTGGCCTTCAATCGACGCCGACATCGCAGCATTCGTCAAGACTTGCTGTCAGTGCGCATCCGTCGCGAAAAGTCCTCCGAAAGCTCCATCAAAACCGTAACCGAAGTCACACATTGATTACGAGGGGCCACTCGAAGGTGATCATCTTCTACTAGTCGTCGATTCCTTCTCGAAGTGGATCGAAATCGTGAGAGCCAGGATTGTCATTCTTCGGAGTATTTTCGCACGTTTCGGAATGCCCACTCTGGTTAGCGACAACGGCGTGCAATTCACGAGCGCCGTGTTAAGCAGCTTTAGCTTTGACAACGCTATCAACCACATTACCACGGCGCCCTACCATCCGCAGTCCAACGGGCAGGCCGAACGCTTCGTCGATACGTTCAAGCAGGCAATCCGGAAAATATAAGAGGGAAGATGAGACATCCAGGTAGCTCTCGATACCTTTCTGCTAACACATCGCACCACACCGAATCTCTCAGTTCCCGATGGTAAATCGCCAGCGTAAGTCATCTTCGGACATGTCTGGAACTGTTGCGTCCTCCAGTGGCCCGAGCAGTAGCAACCAACGATCAATAAGACAAACTACGATCGTTCAGTAAGGGAAATCTGGTGTACGCCAAGGTCCACTCCAACAACACCTGGAGATGGGCTCCTGCTGTGGTGCTATTACGGATCGGAAGCACCATGTACAATGTTTGGGCTGAAGGTCGACGACCATTGCGGTCACATATGAATCAGTTACCATGCCGATCAACGTCAATCAATGACGCTGGTCAGTCAACGATGCATCCAGCCAAGCCTGTAAGCGACCAACTTCCTCTGAATATTGTTTGTGTTAGTCCGACACTTTTAGAGGATTCGAAGACAACCTCAGTGGTTCAATCCCTATCTTCTATACTAAAGAGGGGAGATGTTGGGACCCTTGGACATCCCTAGTACACGAAACAGAATCCATCGACCAGCTGAGCTCACTGTTGGCAGACCACCCTGTCTCCAGTCGATGCTACCGAACTGCGAGAAACGTCATCGGCAGTTTTGTGAAACAGCGTGTTTTACACACGAAGCATAATTTGTGTTTTACATAATAAAGTTTATTTTAATTGTATTTATCTCTCGCGCATTATATAGGGGAATTTACGTATTCTCGGCAACCTAAGCAGCTACCTTCTTTCTATAGCCTTTTTATCTAAGGAACGCACATATATGCAGTATTGGTTTGTTTACAATCTTTTGCTGCCAGCTGCTCTAACAATTTCAGTCGAAAGAATTGTCAAAAACTGTTTTGAAACGCTTTTACAAAGCTCCAATCTTCTCTAGTGAGAGCGAGTATTGTCGGCAACCAGTTTTTCTTCGGCAACCGTTCCATTTGAACTGCATGTAAATCTGCTGTTCTATTATCGGCAACTCGAAATCAGCTACAATTAGTAGTGCGTGTGTTTCATTTCAAGAAAACCTTGCTAGATTGCTTTTTCTCAGTGGTAAAAATATAGTCAAATTGAAGCTGAAAGCATAAAGAATCGTTTGCATGCATTCAGCGAAGTGTTTTCGTAAGAAAATCCAGTGAAAATAGTGTTTCAATTTGGGTTGCCGAAAATAGTCTGTCATGCCGAAGCCGTCATTTCCCCTACATCCGATGTCACGGTCACCTAAGTCGCGCGAGACGTAAAATTCCACGTAGTGATTTATATGAAGTTTGACTTCATTCGAGTTGTGTGCAGATGAACGACGTTTCAGTCCTGTGCTCCACATGTGTCAGTTGTCATTTTTATCATGGACAGTGACGCAAGTTATGAATGTAAGGCCAAGTTTTGTAAAATCATGAAGTTTGGCCACTTTCTCAGGGGCACCGAAACATGCCCAGGAGGAGGGCTAGTATGACCGTAGACTGTCAATAAGGTTATTACCGGCCAAGTTTTGTAAAATCATGAAATTTGATGTGTCGCACGACGGGTTTTGCTTCTTGTTGAGAATCGGCCACTTCCCCGAGGGCACCGGAACTTTTCCGGGATTCCCAATGCGATCATGGATTATCGTTATAGCCGCCATTGGTCCAATAAGATCATTTGTGTGTGAAAGTATTACGTTTACCGTGTGTATAATTATTACAGAACAGTTAAGCCGAATGCCGACCCAGAGTGACCCCAACGGAAACCGGAATAACTCCGGAACCATGTATTGATCCATTTTTTTTTCCGACGGATTCAAAAACTTATAGATAGATTCCCGTCGAAATGCAGCTTGCTGTGTAGAAAAATATTGTCGTCACCGTCGCCGGGTTCGGATCTTAATAATAAGTAGTGTCTTGTGATATGAACGGCTCGGTGGCCTTAGAGCGAACGTTTTTGCCCACTGAGCAAAAAATCTTGGATTCTATGCCAGGTTCCTTAACTCTCGTCTCACTTTCAACACGTCATTTCAGCATATTGTTTAATACCAAAACGAACCCTGCTGCCATCCTAACCCTAACCCAGCCGGTACTGTGATTACCCAGTAATGCAAGTAGGATATGTTTATCTAGCACTATGGATCTAATCAATCATGTTCCAAGAAATGCCCCCTCAATGTCATCCATTCCCTGCTGTTTCCACATCTCGTGCTGACAAACACGCATTAAGCTACATCGATATATTGACAAAGACGACAGTGCTGTAACAGGTCACCCTGCGACCTGCACGCACACCTTTGCTAGCCACTCAATCCATTCATACTTTCAAAACACAGTACACATACTCCAACTGGTCGCCACGATATTATTTGCATTTCATGTCGTACAACATCTAATGAAAAGGGTCGACTCTATTTACAGTGAACAGCTTTAATCCGGTCCCGTCGTCGTCCACACTGAAACAGCTCTATGGAAGCAGGTTCCCTTGCGACATGTTAATTTGTCCGACTCGAATGCAGTGCGGAAATGGTCATGGAAGGTGCGAGGCAAGACGCGGATATCATTTTTCAAACTCTACCCGCTCCAACCCGCTGTGCGACTTTGTCGCCAAGTGGTGGTCACCTGTCCACACCGCTCCGACGACCAGTGTGCAACATACAAGTGAATATGAGTAGCCCAGGTACTCCAGCACCACAAGGCCTGGACAATCGTCAACATTGGTGGGAGCGTTTGTGCATAACTGCGCCGCAACATCAACCAGGCAGTCACCGACGGAACGTCGTACAGGTCGCCGCGCGGAATTCGGTCCCTCCATGCTGCTGCATGTGCATTTTAGTTTGTTGTGGAATTGCGTCATAGCTATTTTGAAGAATTCCCTCACTGTGTGGATGGCTGAGTGACCTCCTCCATTCGACGACGACCGATAGCACAAGCAAGCAAATGACGGAAAAAGGTTTTCGATGTCGCGTTCAAATTTTAGTTAACCAAACTGAACGACTCTGCTCGAGCGATTGAGAGGGAGAGGGCGATAACAGAGAGCCATCGTTGGTGTTGCAAAAATAGCATAACAGGTGGACCACCACACATACAGACGGCGGTGCGAGGAAAGAGCCAGCCAAACAGGAAGGAACCGAGTGAAACTCGCGCGGTAAATCGAACAACAACCGACACACCGAGAAGAGAAAGGGAAGGAAAGAGTCGTCGGCTCCTGGTGCAGCAGAAATCCGCGGAGAAATCGTTGGTAATAATTGCGATGTTTTTCTACAGCAGCAGCGCTCCTCCGGTAGCTGTAGTTGGTGCAGGACCAGTGTTTATTATCATTAGAGCGCTGCTGGCTCGCTTATGAACGATTTTGTAATCCAGCAGCGGCGGGTAGCAAACGGGTTCGGTTCGTCACCGATTGGACACGCTTCGCCGCGCGCCCACTCGGCTCGCGAACTGCTCTTTTAGGTACTGCAGATTTGTGGATTGATTTGTGACGACGAGAGGAACTTAATTCAAGCAACGCAATCGATGGACCATTGGATGATTATCCGTTGAAGCGGTGGTGGTGGTGGACAGGAAGAAGTGCACACGCGTGTGTGCAACTGTTTTGTAACCGATTAGGCTTTATTTGTCCCCCCGTTTATAGTTTGCAGCAGCGGCCTGTGTGTGTGTCTGTAAATTGTGCTGATTGGAGTGTAGTGCACGACGACGACGGCAACAACGGAGTGCAATTAGATACAATGTAAGCCAATGGAGTTAGTAGTTTGTATTGATCCATATAGACATGGAGAAGAATTGTTCAGTTGCGCTCTCGTGATTGCGCTGAATGTGATGGACTTCAGGTTGGAAAACCTTCAAGGAATATTCTGAGCACTTCGATAAACGATGATACAATTTGAGGAACACTACCGGTCCAGAGAAATGCAATAGCAAGTTTAGGGAGGGTGGCAACTACCAGAAAAAAAAACCTGGACACCTGGAATTATCAGGTGAATTGTGCCATCAATCAGGAAATTTTCGTAAAGTAGGTTCATTGGAGTAGTTGTGGAGTTTAGTTTTAGTTTGTTGACTGACATTATTTTCAAAATGATTTTCCAAGTCCCATAAGTCCTTGAGTCCTTGAAACCTTTTCATAATTTTAATTGTTTTTACTGTGTCAAAGATTTTGGACATTTTTCTATGTTTGAGATGTTACAGAATTGTGTATGTTAGAGAACTGACAAAAATCAACTACCGTAATGCGGGGGAAAATTGATCAAAATGCTTTGCACTTTTAGCTGTCCCGTATAAAACTTTCCGTTAAACATATCAAGAGAAATCTTAATAGTACAGTAATGATCCAATTTTGTCATCAGATTTTTATCTGTCAATAATTTCACGTATCTTTCATCTTCAAGATGGATGTCACTTTTTATAGAACTCGTTGGTAAACTTTTCCACTTAATTCTAGGAAGTGCTTATTGATATTGATTCCTCAATCTTCTTCATCTGATTCAACAAGTTTGAAAGTGTCGTCCGTCCAGTTCAAAGAAGCCCGCCACGACGGTACCAAAAAAAAAAGAAAAGGTTCAACACGAGCATTTTGATAAGATTGCTGTGGCTTCTTGCGGGCTAGCGGTCTGTCGGGCTCGCAGCTGCACCGATCGACCAACGGATGCTTGATCTGTCAGCGGCCGAAGTTTCGGAGGTGTATGTCCACACTGCTGTGCGGACAGTAGACTAATCCTAAG